CAGGTCTGAGGTGCCCCAAGAGCAGTCCTCAGGCACTTTCCTCCGCTTGACATGCGGGACATATGTTTATCAGGCACATTTTTCATATATATAAGCATGCTTAGTGATTTAGGTCATTCTTTAGGCTAACAAGGGTTAAAGGACCACTCTAGGCACCCAGACCACTTCAGCTTAATGAAGTGGTCTGGGTGCCTGGTCCAGCTAGGGTTAACCCATTTTTTTATAAACATAGCAGTTTCAGAGAAATTGCTATGTTTATAAATAGGTTAATCGAGCCTCTAGTGGCTGTCTCTTGACAGCTGCTAGAGGCGCTTGCGTGCTTCTCACTGTGAAAATCACAGTGGGAAGACGCAAGCGTCCATAGGAAAGCATTATGAATGTTGTCCCAACTATTCACAGGGGAGTATAAACCTCCATGGAATGTACAAGGGGGAATAATACAGGGAAAAACCCTAGTGGATGCAAACAAATCTGTCCCTAGGTAACCTCGGTATCGGAAAATCTATACTACTACTACAGGAAGCAGGAGACCCTTCATAGAGCTCAATGTAAACCGGGTAGATTCTAGAGGTAAACCTAAAAGGGAGGAGATGTCTTCTCAAATCTGTCCCTAAGTTACCTTGGAACTGCACAAGGCTAGTGCCTACCTGAACCAACTGACCCTAGTGTAGACAAAAGAGAAATCTAAAACAAAACTCAAAAATTAATAAGTGCTCATAGTGCTACCAAACTGGAAATAAAAGTGCTAAGAGCCAAAAAGCCTGACGCGCGTTTTGGCACGCTCACATGCTGTTGTCAGGGGCAAAGTGAGTGAATAAGCCTTGTAAGTGTGTTTAATACCTTACTAATCAGCAATCTATGTTGGCTCAGATACAGCTGCAAGGATGGGAGGTATGTCATATGTGCCGCCTCTAAAGGGGCAGAGGTATGACATGTATCATTGAGGATGAGATGGGAAACGAGTCTGGGTGTATCACATGTATCTATACACCAATTGGATTTGAGGGGGCGGAGATTGTATAACAACAGTTTTAGAGAGGTTTATGAATGTACTGCTTCCTAAGGGGCAAATTTACAACCAAAAGTGTAGGGCAGAGCTTATGTTACAGTAGCATGACACTACTCTAATGTGAAGTGCATGAGAGAATATAATTTAATCTCGCCTGTATGTAATAAAGAAGGATCTAGTTCCCAGAATGGAGCTAGAGTGTGTATAGGGGGACAACCAAGGGGGTAGCCCTCCAGTTATATGTGAATAAAGAGAAAGTAGCCTCAGGTAAAGACCCAGGCTGCCTTAAAGGAGGATGCCCCCACCCCTTAAATTAGCGTATATTAAAAATATGGAACTTTATTTCAACAACTTAAAAATAAAGAAAGAAAGATACTAGACATAGAAAATAAATAAATAAAACTGGACCATGTAGAAAACCAAATTCTATTTGTATAGGCGGTGTTACACGTTGATGGCGTATAATTGCTAGGGTTACAGGGTATTATAACCCTTCTACCAACTTATACCGCTAAATGCAGAGAGAGAGCGTCATATATGGAGGGATGTCACCCATACAAGTCATCAGCAGTACACTGACTATATATATATATATATATATGCTAAAGTTTTAGGGTGTTGCAACCACCATTCCCATAAAACATATGCAGTATAAATGTCTATATGAGACGTCTATATAATGGAAATCTAATATATTACAGAGAGGAAACCGATCTATCCCAGCACCTAAACTTCCTGGATAGTAAAATGAACGGATACAATTGCTATGTTGTGCTGTTGTAGCAAAAAATGTAGCTAGGGAACTGCTTGAGAACGCTTGACGTCTGTTTCACCCGAGAAATGTATCACTAAACATTTGGTACACTATCTCTATGTCTATGGCTGCAGAGTAATAAGGTTGGAAGGTAGCTAACGTCCCTGCAAGTTGAACGCTAGTTTTTCAAATTGAGATCCAGATTTGTGAGAATAACCTCTCACATAGTACCCCACAGCAAGCCCCCCACCATAATAGAAGTGTCTAAGTGATTATGTGCAGTGATTTTAAAATAAAAGTAGGAAAGCCTGACGCGCGTTTCGGCGCTTCTATAGTGCCGTCGTCTGAGGCATTTTATGTTTTGGCGCTTCTATAGCGCCTTCGTCTGAGGCATTTTATGTTTTCGGCGCGTCAGGCTTTTCTATTTTTATTTTAAAATAACAATATATAGAGTGTTTACATGTTAATTGTGTTCCACAATTGATTCAAAATGGTTGAAATATATACACAGGGGGCGACCTTAAATAAATGGCAGGAATGAAAACCCTTCATTCACTCTGTTTGGTGATAACTTTTTGAGTCTGTATATCCAGTAGGCTTCCCTCTGGCGTAATTTAATATCCCAATTGCCTTTCTGAGGCGGTTGTGGTATTGATTCGATCCCCATAAACCTATAAAAACATTTTGACAGTTTTTAAGAATACAACTTACTTGTCTTGCCTTAACACTTGTCCAAAACAATCCCTGTTCCATATTGCATTGAAAGAGTATTTGTTCTCTTATCTGTGGCCACTGAATCTCATCTGTTTTGCCCCAATTTCTAGCTATTATTATTTTAGTGAGACAAAAAAATGAAATGTTAACAGGGAACGTTTTTTGTTTAGCGTTGACCATTTCAAATGTAACAAAACAATTTCAGATTTTATGTCAATAGTAACGTTACCAATAAAGTAAAGTACAGTTTTTCATAAACCAATTCCCACATTTTTTAAAATTATATCACAATTCCACCAAATGCGAAGATAGTCCTCTTCTGCTCTGCCACATCTCCAACATTTGGGACATATGCGAAAATTTTGCCAGTCTGGTTGGTACATAATACCAAAATTGTATAAGTTTAAATTGATTCATTATATCTTTTAATTGCCTCAAGCTATTTGTCTGGGTTAAATTCCATGTGCAACAGTTTACCCCATTTTTTTGATTATTATCATCATATTTCAGACTTAAACAGCTATATACTTTAGACATTATTTTTGTTACTTTGTCTTCCAAATATTTCTTCTAGCTTTTTTATCAAGATATTATTGTTGAAAATAGAAGCGTTCAAAAAACGTTTTGCCCTTAGATAAGAGAAAATTTCTCTATCGTTCAATCCAAATTCCTGTACTAGCTGAGAGAAATTCTTAATTAAATTGCCAAAATAACTGTTGTTTAATATTAATTATACCTGCTTTTCTCCAAACGTCTAATTTTAAATCTTGTACATTGGCCTCCACAACATTAATATTTAAATTACCTAATATTTGTTTCTGTATTCCTAATCTTTTCTTTATTTGCCACCACACATTTAATGAATTAATTTAAAGGACCACTATAGTGCCAGGAAAACATACTCGTTTTCCTGGCTCTATAGTGCCCTGAGGGTGCCCCCACCCTCAGGGTCCCCCTCCCGCCAGGCTCTAGGGGGTGGAAGGGGTTAAACTTACCTCTTTCTCCAACGCCGGGCTGGGAACTCTCCTCCTCCTCTTCTTCTCTTCGTCTGAATGCGCATGCGCGGCAGAAGCCGCGCGCGCATTCAGCCAGTCCATAGGAAAGCATTCTCAGTGCTTTCCTATAAACGCTGGCGTCTTCTCACTGTGAAAATCACAATGAGAAGCGCCTCTAGCGGCTGTCAATGAGACAGCCACTAGAGACTGGATTAACCCTAATATAAACATAGCAGTTTCTCTGAAACTGCTATGTTTATAGAAAAAAGAGTTAACCCTAGATGGACCTGGCACCCAGACCACTTCATTAAGCTGAAGTGGTTTGGGTGCCTATAGTGGTCCTTTAATTTATGCCTACTTAATTTAGGCATTTTATTTCTGTGGTAAGAAATATCCCAGATGGCATAATACGGCTCCTTAGAACCAATAAGCTGTTTCTCAATTTTGTACCATATTTCAGATTCTATATTTGGTTCTTGTGTCATATACATGTGTCCTATGATATTAGCTTGGTAATAATCTTTACCATAGGAAAACCATGGCCACCTTTTTTAATTGATAGAGTTAATCGTTTAGCCACAATTCGTGTTTTTTATAATCCTCCAAACTTTAAAAAACGAATATGAAGCATGTCTAACCAACTTGCTGGTATCTCCACTTGCAAGAATCGGTATGGGCCTGGCGCTTTTTTTTTTTTTTTAATCTCTCTATAGCTTTAATAATTTCTAATGTTTGAATCGGAGCATTCAGTAATTGCTGCTTTCCTTCTGGAACTTGTTCCTTCTGTAGCTTTTCACTGTTGGTTGTTTGAATCTTTTAAATTTTAATTTATATATCTATATCTATCTATCTATCTATCTATATATATATATATATATATATATATATATATAAATATATATATATAGATCTCTATAGATATAAATATAAGCCTCATTTGTAGGGCTGATATACTGCAACAATACATTTCCCGGTTCTCCTTGCTCCAGCCCCTTTCCTTCTAGGTCTCCTTGTATTTGCTGCTTATGATCTCTGCTTACTCCCTGCTCCTGCTCCTTTTTTTACCTCCTCAAGGCTTCAACCCCCTGCTTCCTCCCCCGTCTCTTACGTCATCACGTCCCCCCAAATTCCCATTATTTTTGAAATTGTACTTTGATATATAAACAGTGAAGATCCTTTTGAGTGTAACACTTTAAGAAAGCCTGAATAAGTGAAACGCGTTAGCTTTACTTTTATATATAGTTTATAATAAAACTTGTAATTCCTTTATCCTTGGACTTTTTCTATTCTGATGTTTGGTCACCAATTACTCTGGTGCGGAATATACCACCTACACCATATGGAATGAGACAAACCATTAACGCTCTACAACAGTGAGCACATCTCTTATTTTTTATAAGTTGTATCACACAGTGAGCACTGTGGTTTTTTTTTTTAATTCTGTTACCACATGTAACCAAGAGTGAAAACCTGTATGCATCAAAGATTGTGGACTGTCCCACTACACACTGTTTACTGGGATCCACCAGTAAGCTCCAATAACTACTTCTGGATCATTCCCTATTGGACCAAGACATTGAATACATATCTGCTAGCAGGAATTAAAAAGCCTAGACACAAAAAGGTGGAGGTACTATCTGCTCCACACACTGTAATTGCAATTAAATTGTTTTTCTACCCAACTTCCAACATACTACACTATAATTTGCACTCTAACGTTTTCTCGTTACATACTGTCACACTCACCCTGAGTTGAGAACTTTCTCCAAGGCGCTGCTTCCCTCCCTCTACACACATTTTAAATATCAATATCTAAATATTTATATCTACACACACTGCTCTGTTGACATGTCTAGAAAATAAATGCTCTTGCAAGGTCAGCACTTTTTGTAATTTACTTTCTAAAACTCGAGCATTTGCATGAGGGCTGCGACTTGCCATGCTATACTGATACAAATTCCCTTGCACTGCAGGGAAGTCCGATCCAAGCCCACTGCCCCACAATGGCTGTCACTGGCTGATAGGCAGCTGTGCAGGTCAAGGGCCACTGTGTGCCATATTTGCGGCCTTCTACAAGCAGCTACTGGAAGACTAGATTGGGGCCTTGTTCTGCTATGCCTGTGTGTCAGTCTCCTTTAAGAACTCTACATGTAATATAGAAAGAATATATATAGTGTGGTGTGCCTTGGAAAAATAAATATATTTGTTGTCATGCAACATGAGGGACAGCCTCTTGATAACATGTCTTAAAGGAACACATAGGGTCAGGAACACAAACATGTATTCCCAACCCTATAGTGCTAAAGTCACCATTTAGGTGACTTTCCCTCCCCCACTCCTGTAGCCCCAGGGGGTTAAAACTCACATTCTTTCTAGTGCAGAGCAGGTCTGCCGGTGCTGTCCCTGCCCTCGATCTGCCTCCTTGGTGAAATTATCAGAATTGCAGATTTTTAGCCAATCCAATGCTTTCCCATAGGGAAACCACATTGAAATGGCAGAAATCGGCAAGGAGGCAGGATAGGGGTGGGGTCAATCAGATTTTTGCCAATCAGCATCTTCTCATAGAGATGTATTGAATCAATGCATCTCTATGAGGAAAATTCAGCGTCCCCAAGCACCTCTAGTGGCCATCTGAGGAGTGGCCACTTGGAGGTGTCCCTCGGGGGCAATGTAAACACTGCATTTTCTCTAAAAAGGCTGAATTTGCATGAATATGCCTTAAGGGAATGAGTATACTCTCATTAAGCTGTAGTTGTTCTGGTGACTATACTGTCTCTTTAAATATGTTCTCATACCCACAGAAGCTTGTGGATGTGGAGTATAATTAGCTTATTTCTGAGCTGATCTATATTGTCTGATTCTCTCTCTTGATAGTTACTCTGGTTGCTGCAGCCACGGTTAATATTAAGTGGCCACACACATAGTGCCTGCGAAGTGTTACATAGAGGACGAGTCCCAGAGATCAGTGTCCCATCCTTCAGCTGGCGGAACCGAAATAATCCAAGCTTCATCATGGTATGCTAAAACGCTTTTTAATTGGCAGTAATTTATTTAAGTATATTCCTAGAGGTTTATTTGTTTTGGATATAAAGTTATTGTGCTAAATGACACTTTACATTATTTCTACTTGACGCATGGTGTTGTTGGATGATGGATACATGGGAAGATTGCAATACTATATTCTAAAAGGGGGGAGAGCTTTAAAATTGGGTCCCAAACACCGTTATGACCATGCACAAATATTATAAATACTGTCAAACTGTATCATGCAATACCCACATGCACAATACAAATGTGTTAGTTAACAATTTAGCAAAATGCGTTAGAGCGTGTTTACGTTTTCCTTTAGTATACCATAAATAATAAAAGGTATCAAACGGTATCATACAATAATAACATGCGCAGTAATAGAATTTCCTCGGTAATCCATGCCCACATTACCTATGGGTTAAACCGCCCTGATTTAGTGGATTAGGAAAGGAATATTCAAATTTGAATTTAGCGTATAAAGGGTATCCTCTCCTCTTTAAAAGCAGCCTTTTTTCTTGTCCTGCAGCTGTTTATACAGTATGACATTTTTATTTTAAAATTTACCTGCCATTAGTTTTTCTTTATGGCTCCAAGGGGAGTTCAGTCTTCCTCAATGTGGAAGAACCCAGATACAGTCCAAGCAGTTTGGGACTCCCCCGGTTATGGTTATCAGCACATAATCTGAAGATAAAAATGCATCATATCTGCACTACTAGATGCCTCTAGAGAAAGAAGACAAACGAGGTTAAGCTATACCTTGTGGATGGTAAGGAGGCCATGGCAAGAATTTCTTATTTTACTTCACGTAGTTTGGGAGATAGTTTGTCGTCCATTTTTGCCCTTTTTTTTATAATTAGGTTGCAGGTTCTAATTTGCTGTATTATTCGGGATTATGGAATCAAAGGTGGCTGTCCTGTATTTTCTGGATTGCTCAACGCATATGCGAGTGTTTTTAAGGAGCCACTGAGGGGACATTCAGTATTTAAACAGCCCTTAAGGTGTTGCCTGTTTTATGGCGGATCGGGAATTGTATTCTACTTGTAAATTGTATTGGAATGTGCTAATTTTTCAGTTCTCATCATGTTATGGTCCTGACTTCTTCATATATTAGGCCAGTAGTTACATACAACCTTGCTTTCTTACTGAACATTTACTGTATAATCAGGAATATTATAACTGACAGGAACACATGTAAAATATCGTCTGTAGCAGCACTGCATCACACTCACTGAATTAAGATGGCTGCTGTGCTCTCTGACCTGTTAGTCATCATAGGAGTGGAGCCACTAGTTAAAGTGAAAGGGCAGGTATAAAACTACATTTATAAGGAAACTTGGTGTTCTTGCATTTAGCTTTTGGTTGCAGTGTTGTCATTTACTTTCAAGCAGTTTGGGAGTAGTGCAAATGTGCATTTTTATCTTAATTTTTTTAAAATTTTTATATTTTTTATTTTTGTAGCGCATTGGTATACATAAAGAGCTTGTATAGACATTTCAGCAGAGGCATGTACAATAGTAGTAAATATAGATTTGGTAGAAATTGTCAAAGAAAAATCTTGCGCTTTTTTCCCTCAAAATGATAAGCAAGATAAAATGAGTGGATGCAATGAGCTGACTGGTAATTAAGACATGCTGAACTATCTTAGTAAACAATTTAGTAGTAATGCCACTGGGTACTGGTCATAATAGAAAAGGATAAGGGAGAGAACAGGAATCCCTGCACTAACAAGATGATGACAGTAGTTGAGCAGGATATACGCTGTCAAGAATGCTTGGTTTTATCCAATGCCACATGTAGGCTCCATGCGATAGCCAGCCACTCTGCCTGGTAGGATTGCAACTCTCCCCCAACAACAGTTCTGGAAGGCTTGCCAGATTCTAAGGTCAGGATCAGTGGGAGTGCTGCTCTGCCAGGATTCTTCACCCTCTTGTGCCCGATTCTCACAGGTGATGTAGGTCATCATGCTGGGGATGACTGGGCTTGTTCCTCCAGAGTCTCCGTAAACATTAGTGGGTATAGTGGACTTTTTGGTGAGGCAATGCCGTTTGCCGACGTGGCTTCCTGTGCCTCCATCTGTGCTGCGCCACTCTGGGGACACGTGGGAGATTAAAAGTTGGGTGGTGCAGATCCGTGGGCTCTGGGGTGCCACAGTGCTGTCAGCAGGAGTGGAGGTAAGACCCTTTCCAGAGAGTTTCTCCCAGACCGAAGGGCAGATGCAATCAAATGCCATTAGGAATGTGTCCACGAGTGTAGGTGGTGGCATGGAGTCGGGCACAGCTACAGGCCCAGGCAGGGCGGCATTAGTATTAACATTCATTTAATATTGTCATGAGTCACTAGTACCTTTTGTATTACATACTTCCTCTTCCTGATCTTGCTCCTCCCCATCTCCACCCTCTTGTGCTGAGCTAAATCCCATCTCCTTTCTGTCTTATCTTTATTTTGTAGATTTCTGAGTCCCCTCCCTGCACTTCCACTAGTTTAAAATCTCCCCCGAACCTTCTAGCCATCCTGTCCCCCAGCATAGCAGACTCTCTTCTGTTTAGGTGCAATAAATCATGGCTATAAAGATTGAACATAAATCAACCCAGTACTCTAAAAAGCCAAAACCCTCCTTGCAACACCATGACATTAGCCACACATTATTCTTTGTATAACACATGTTACAATGCCGTCGCCCACCCCATGAGTTCCCTATTCAGGGTGAATAAGTATGTAGGGGTTTAGAAAAATACCAATCTCTTTCTCATGTGGGTTTTTTTTTTTTTTTTTACCTTAAGCTGAAGTTATTGTAGGACCCACCTAAGAGGTCTGCCTTGACATGGCAGGTGAGTTTACACCTAATGACCATTGGAGTGAAACAATAAAAAACTCAGTTTATTTAAATATGCATAGAAATTTAGGATAGTGTGCAGGTAACTCTTTCCTTTGGTTTTTATTGTATGCATTATTCTCCCTAATCTCCTGCTGACATTCTTCTGTAGAGTGGGGTACTGATAATATCTCTGAAAAATACCACTTTGGAGGTCATTTTCTTCAGTTTATTTCCTATTCCTGATTACTGGAACTCATTCTTTTGGACCCAGATTTTCCTCTGACTTTGTCATTCTTTTTATTTTATTTTTTAAAACTCTATATTTTTGTTGCGCAGAGAATATACAAATTAAGCTTGCAATGCCACGACAGCGGAACAAACTATGCAATATTAAACATATTATATTATATTGTGTAGAGTAAATCTTGCTAGTCAGGTATGTCTAGGTTAAAGATCATGTTACATTTAGCAGTCCTGGAAGAAAATCTAGACAAATGAAATAAAAAATAAAAAAATTAAATTAAAAAAGTAGTAACTAATGAAAAACGTCTGATAACATGTTAGGTCAATTGTGAGAACATGTAGGTGCTACTTGACATGCTAGCAGAACGAGAAAAATACATGAAACTATTACCACTGCAGAGCAGGCACACTTTGCAATGCATTAGTACAAACTGTAAAGGCTAATATAGGTTAGGTCAAGAGCCTCTGATGAAGGAATGGGAAAAGCAAAATTTGGACTTAAGAGAGTGTAGTTAGCCTATGCCTAAGCTGGGGAGAGAAGACTGGCATTCAAAAACAGATGTGCATCCCCCAGCCCCGCACTCCCAGCCCCAGACCTTTACTGGAGACCACACAGAGTGTCCGATAGCCTAGCCATGCCTAGTGCTCGGGGCGCAGTCCCCAGATAGTCTCCGTGTGTAGTGATCTCTCCGGGGGTACGGACCATGTGTAGGGATGATCCTCTTGTCGGTCTCCAACCCAGGAGGGTAGCGCTCCACCTCCGCAAGCTCTATTGCTGGCAAGGAGGGTGGTCGTGTCATCGCTGCCAGTCTGCACCATAATAGATCGTGTGTGGCATAAAAAACTTCTTCCCAGTTGTTGCTGCTCGACCTCCATCGCTTGTTCAGCCATCTTATGTAGGCAGGCACTCTACTCACTTTTAGCTTCCGTAGTGCCTAGCTTCCAGGGCCTGCCCGCTGCTCCAGTGTGGACCAGGAAAACCCCCACCGGTCCAGAGGGGGGGGAAACGGGCACCAACAGGACCCTGCTACAGAATCAGTGGTTCCAAGTCAGGAGATTGGCTGCATTTCCCACCCCCAGAGCCTGCCAGGCTTCACAGGCCATATCTAAAGTTTCAGGACATAGAGATTGAGATAAAGCTCAGTAGCAGTTTGAATATGTGGTGTGTTTTTATGTAGTGTTGATATTTGGATGCAGGGGTGTATTTGTGTGTAGTATTGTGAAATGCTGAGATTTATGCACATATACACAAATATACGCACATTGGCACACATGCAGATACATAGTGTGGCAGAAATGCCTCTGCCACGTGTACTTGGAAGGGCCTGCTTGCCAGCC